TAGAAGAGCCCATTACAATTAAATTAGCAAGAATTTTTGCAGCCTGCCTCAAGAACAACATGATTTTGTTTCCCGCATTAAGATATCAATTCAAGTAAGCGGATGGCTCATGAGAATGCACTTGAAAGGGTAGGGAAAACATCAAAGAACAGTGATGTAATGTGAGGTATGGCCCTAAACATCCACTTTTTCTATGATAAGAACCATGTTGGTAAAAAGAGTAAATTTATGATTTTACTTTTGTGTAGGGGGATAGAGGGGAGGTCACATGGACATGGTTAGTCGTTAAATCATTTTTACTAATCCATCAAATGCGTTACCATTTCAACCCAGCTAAGTAAAGAGAGAGCCTAACTTAAAATGGCAAAAGAACAAAAAAGGAAGAGTTAGACTAAAGAAATCCTTAACTTGCCAAAAAGACTTTTGAAGAATTCTATAAACAAGCAAAATGATAATACTCAAATTCAAAGGAAAAAGGAATTGGCAGAATTCACATCTGGATGAATATTGCACCAAGAATAAAAAAGTTAAAAGTACAAACATACCATTGATGAAATTAGGAGATGACCCCAACCAGGAAAGCGGAAATGAGTAACCTAAGAAAAGACCAAACATTGGATCAATTAGATTAAAAAATCAAAAAGCTACTTGTATACATGATATTAGTAGTCCCCAATAAGACCAAATACCATAAATAGTAAAAAATAAAAATACATAAAAAAGAAGCTAGAATCCAAGCATTGAAGGTTAAACATTTTCGTTTCTTTATAAAGCCAGTCAAAGGTTAAACATGTTGTGCTTATTTAAGCATCTATGAGTTTGAAGAAAACAACAATACCAACCATCCTCCAGATGAAATACTTTACTCTCAACACATCAGACTAAAACTATCAAACAGCAAACGAAATGATTCCTTCACGAGTCTTCCATGCTTTGCATTCTCTTCCACCAGATGTCAAAGGCTCATTTAAGGCGCACTTAAGCCCTGAAGCTCAGAAAAGCTCAAGGAGGGCGCTTCACCTCGCTTAAGTTGCGCTTCCGTGTAGGCAAGTCACTAAAGTGTGTGCCTCAATGCCCATGAGTTCTATCTTGAACTGAGTGGTACTAAACAGCAAATATTATCAGCAAATAAGTTTATTAGTTGTTGAGGAAAACATTAGGAGTAAATTTGTTTCTTTTTTGTTGAATTACATAATGTATTTTCATTTTTTCCTTTAGTTGCGCTTTTTTTTCCTCACTAAAGCCCGCATTTTAGCTGCGCTTTGTGCTTAAAGCCCCAATCGACCTGGAGCGCTTTTTAGAACTTTTCGCTTTTGACAACATTGTTCCACTCCCTTGTCATCCAAATTCTTATCAAATATCAGTGACTTCTTCTTTAAATAATATCTAAGACAAATTCACTTCCCCTTAACAAAAATGTTATTTTGTTTAGACTTTCGATGCATTAAGCAGAATCACTCCCTTGGTGAAAAAATCCCACATTAATTATATTTTCATTCAAAAACAAAAAAGACAAAGCAGAGCTCAAAATGTGGAAAGTAGAGCATATGCTACACATATTAGTACCAAAAAGAAACTTTCTACACTCAATTTACTGATGCAAAATAGCTTATCTCTTGTAAGGTATACGGTCTTAAATAAGAGTTCCTCACAGCAAAAAGTGGCATTAAGTAATTTCAACAGGTGATGATGGATATCAACTGTATAAACCCTTTATTTCACTAAAGAAGCAGCAGATATAAACTTTGATACAAAAATGCAAAAGTAAATCCAGTCACTCCACCTAATAAGGGGCGAGAATGACAGTTGTATGTGCTTCTTTGGCTAACATGCCAAGGTAACACCCATTTCCTTTGTCATTCCAGCTTCTTTTTCTGGCTTTGCAACCTTTCAGGCAGTATCAGTATGTCCAAAATAATGTTGGTCAGAAAAATGTAAGTGGCTTCTGGGAGAATATGCCTCTTGACCAATTACAATCCAGCCTTGTTCAATTTAGCTGGCTGCTGGCCACTGTTCAAAACATACTCATTATATTCAATTTAGTTGGATATTGTGCTTCAAGAGAAAGCACAAGACTAGGAAGTTGTGCAAGTATAAAATAATATTTTTGCAGAAATTTCCTATTGCCCAGCCTCTTTGCATTTAATTTCAATAACTTCGTAGCCCTCTTAATACAATAAAAATTTATCATTTATCACTTGAATATGTTATAAAGAAATGGTTTCCTTTGATGGTAGACATTCAGCACTCCACTAGAATCAGTCCATCTATTCTAGTTGTAGTCAACCAATCATTTAAGACCCTTAACAATGAAATTGTAAGAAAGTTAAACATACATACATACAAAAAAAAAAAAAAAAAGGCTAACTCTACATTCTATGATCAAATTGTTTCAAGCCCAATGTAAGCTTAACTAAGGATTACCGTTACATCCAAAAAGCTGAAAACTTTGCAATCGCATTTGTCCTTTTCAAACAATTCAAAGCATATCAATGAAAACACAATAGAAAATGGAAACACTTTTCAACAGCGATAAGGTAAAGATTAAACAATTTGGATAAATAAGAAAAAATGTCAACTTTTCGGATAATCAGTTAAGAATTCTTAAAAAGCTGACACTTACAGCAAAGTTGAGAAAAATCGTACCTTTTGACAGCAAATAAATCAGATAATGATGAATTCTAAGGCACTCGAAATTAAAGAAAATTTTCGGGGTTGGAAGAAATATGGATGATTTTACGTAGGATTTTTGGGGGTGAGAGTTTCTCGATTTGCCTAGAAAAATTAGGCAGAAGGGGCAACGCCACAAAAGGACGAGGCTATGTTGTTTTGTTTTGTTTTTTTTTTCTTTTCAATTTGTGTTGGTAGAAATATATACTTTTTGCTGTTTGGTTTGAGGCGATAATAAAAGCAAATAAAATAAATAAGGCGAATATACTTTTCTTGTAAATCATGATAACAAATACTCCTAAAAAGTTTTTTTAATGTAATTAAAAAAAATTGATAAATGCAATTTTTTAAATTAAAAATGATAAAAGCAAAGAGAAATAAAGGAACAGAATACCCACCAGATTTTTTGTATTCTTTTTTAGCTTCTTTATCACCAAGTGGGTATTTGGCTAAGCTTATAAGCTTATCAAACTAGCTTATAAGCACTTTTCGGTTTATCTACGCGTTTGGTAAAGTTAAAAGTATTTATGAGTCACGTGCTTATAAGTCAAAAGTCATAAGCTGGTCACCCCCAACTTATGAATTTTTAGCTTATAAACACTTTAAGTTTGACCAAAATTTTTACTATTTTATTCTTAAAATATTCTTTTTTAGAAAAAAAAACTCTTACATCAATACCCACTGCCTCAAGTATTGTTTCAACCTAAACCCCTGCTTCTTCAAGTCTTGAATTCTCATTGACTATTTAAGATAAGCAAATTCTCTATTCCTTTGCATATTCGTATCTATGTGATTGTGTATTAATCTTTGAACTGTATGTAATAAATGAGGACACATCAAAATTTTTGATGTATTGCTTTCTAAGTGTTGTGATGATGAAGACAGTGTTTGTTTCTCTTCAAATATTTTGTCCTATTTAGGTTTATTTTTTACTGAGAAACTTTTGTCAATTTATTAATTATTATAACTTATAATTATATGCTCATCATAAAATAAATTATATTTATCATAAAAATTATCTTATCTAAGCATAGTTGTATTAAAAATAAAATAACATATAGAATATTTTGAATTTGAATCGATCTGGAATCTAAAATTTTGAAAAAAAATTATGCCTTTATAAGTGTAAATATTTATAAGGTTATTTAAGTCATTTTAATAGAAAAAGAGCTTATCAACACTTTTTTATCAAATACTACAACAGCTTATTATCAATTTTAGCACTTGTATCCAAATACGTAACTGCTTATTTATTAAATCAGTTTCAGCACTTAAAAATACTTCCTAATGCTTATCAGCTAATTCAAATCAGCTAATCCAAACGGGCTCTAACTAGGACAAAAGCAAAGAACAAATCTCATATTGAAACGCGACATTAATTTAAATTAACAGGGAAAATGCATAACTACCTGACCTATAGCCGGATTCCTAACTACACACTCTATCTTTGTGGAGGTTTTATTACCCCTAAACTATTTTAAACTAGAATTATTTGCACCCTTAAAGCTTATGTGGCATAGTGTGTGTATTTCACTCTCGGAAAAGTGAGAAGCAAGAAAAAATAATTTTTAAGTAGAATTATTTGCACCCTTAATTATGTGGCAGAGTGTGTATATTTCAATCTCTTTGGGAAAGTGAGAAGCAAGAAAAAATGATTTTCAGATTTTTGTTTTTGTTTTTTTTTACTATTTTTAGTGAGATATATAATTTCTTACTTTTGTTTTTCTTTTTCTTTTTCTTTTTCTTTTTCTTTTTCTTTGTCTTTTTCTTTTACTTCTTTTTTTGTTTCTTCTCTAATTCCGGCACATATGCACTCGCCGACGACTTTATCTAATCATTCTTCTTCTATTTATTCTGTTTTTCTTCTTTCTCTTTCTATCCTTTTCATTTTTGTGTCTGAAACAGACCTTCAAACAGAATAGAACCAATCGACCATAACCTAGACGAAAATTATACCGACTAGACCAGATTTGGACAACTGTTTCGGGTGTAAAAGGGTAGTTTCGATGGAGGTTTGTGGCTAGTTTCGAATGTTTTCTACTGTTTGTTTGGAGCTGGTTTCGAGGGATGTTTTCAGCTATAGATTGGCTGAATTTTGGGACTGGATTTGGCTCATTTTGGGTGTTGTTTCACTGAGTCTTCAGGCTGTTTCGCTGAGCTTTAATGGCCAACTTTCGTGGCTGTTTTTTTTTTGTTGTATTTTGCAACTGATTTTTAGTAGTTTCGAGGTTGGAGTTTGGTGTAGATCTGGGTGGAAGAGAGACTGTTTTGGATGGTGTCTCTACTGAGTTTTGGGGATTGTTTTGAGGCATTTTTGAGCTGCTTTGATAGTGTTTTTTTGGCTAGAATTGATGGGTTCCGGCGAACTGTTTTTGAGTTTTGGGGTGTTTTTAGGTGGTGTTAATGGGAGGTTTTAGTGGCTGTTTGGACTGGTTTTTAGCTGGTTTCAGGGCTGATTTTGCTAAGTTTTTGGCTGAAAAACAGAGCTATATTTGCTGGGTTTTAGAGATTTATTTAGCTGGTTTCAATGGAGTTTAGGGGGGTGATTTTGGGTCGAAGAAAGTAGCTGTTGGAATAGAGAAAAAAAAAATTTTTAAATGAAATCTGATGTGTTGGTTCACCGCCTAACAGAAATTTAGTTGTGGTACTTTAAGGGTAAATTTATTTGACTTTAAAATAGTTCAGGGATAATAAAAAAACTCGTAAAGGTAGAGTGTGTAATTGGTAATCCGGCTATAAGTTATCTATTTTTTCAAATTAATAAATTAATGAGGAAATCTATTATGGAGAACTCAACCCATTTAAAAGGTGTAATGAACTTTAGTCTTAAATTTTAGATTACATGACTTTTGATAAGCATTATTAGAGATGTTTAATTAGAGTTCTGAGCTTGAAAATAACAACTACACATAAGTTTTTTGACAAAATACATAGTTTGCCCATCAAACTTGCATCGAAATCTCTCTTACACATTTTGTTTTATCATAAGAAACTTTTTATATATTCAACCTTTCAAAACTGTGTTCAAAACACATCTATTTGAGTACTTGATGATAGGTTATAATTATGTATTTTAGTCACTTATTACACTCTAATTTACTGCACTTTAATTGAGTTTGAGCTTTAATCGCTAGTGTTTTGCACTAATTGTGTGTTTTATGCCTTGTAGGAGTGATTCCGAGCTATGTAGATGTTATGGAATGAATTCAAATAATTTGGAGCTTTGAAGTCTGAGTAAAAGCCCAAGTAATTAAGCCAGGATCGTGTTCGGGGATCAACGGATGATAGTTAAGAACGAACGAAGAATCAAGTAGGCATATTGCGCACTATCTAGTAAAATACACATAACCTTTCGCTCAGAACTCCATTTGATCTCCACAATATATTGTCGGAAATATAATTCAAAGGGCTACAACTTTCATGTTTTACGTTTTCCCAAATTCTAAACAGAACAGGGTGACAAATGTGCGACAAGTGCGCGGCCGCGCACTGGCCGCGAATGTGAGGCAGAAACTGGCCAAAATCCGCGGTTGAATCCGCGGCTGCGGACGTCCTGACCTGGAAAAGTGTCCTTTTTCGTGTAGGAGAGGGTATAATTATTTGGGCCCGACCCTACTTGGTATATATACATGGAAAAATGGTATTTTGAGGACTTTTGACATACTTTTGACACACTCTAGACCTCCTAAATTTAATCTCCAACCCTTAGTATCTTTAGTTGTTAATTTACTGCTTTAGTTTCTTAGTTAATTAGTTAGATATAAGAATCTTAATCTTTATAACTTAGAAATTTATTCGAGCTTGTCTTTTTAGCGATATTGGACAATTATGGCGAAACTTTAGTTCTCAGTGGGATTCGACTCCGTACTCTTAGACCGGATTATATTTACAGCGACCGCTTAGTCCTTTTTACAAGGTATAGTTGGGCGTGAACAAATTTTGGCGTCGTTGCCGTGGAACTAACGGTGTAGCTGTACGTATACATATTGCTAGGTTTTAAGTTTGAACTTTTATTTTTATTTTTTGTACTTGATTCTTTTTTTTTTTTTTTACTTGTTGATTTTTAAAACATGGCATCTTGGAATTATGAGAGTTTTAATGTTGGTAATTCTACTTTTAATCCTCCTTATGCATATTGTGGAGAAAATCACCCATGGCAAAATTATCAAAATATTCCCGAGAGCGAGTTATGTGCACCAACTCAATCTTATGTGTGGAATGTATGCGATATGTGTGGTGGTCAAGATGGTCACTTTCATGGTTGTGCTTATATTTCTTATCTTCCCCCAACTCCTTACTTTGATGGTTCTTCTTTTTCTTGTGAAGTTAATAGGAATAAAGAACCCAGGGACGAGGACTTGAAAGAGATCAAGGATATGCTAAGATGCCTTATGGAACAAAATAATGAGTAACAACTGTACATACAAAGGCAAGATGCTACTATTCGCAACTTGGAGGTACAAGTGAGTCAACTAGTTGAAATATTTAATGCTCAACAAGCCAATATTGTGGATAGTAGCCAAGAAGAGCATGAATTAGATACCGAAATTGAGGTTCTAATGAAGGAAGTCAGAGTAGAACACAAACTATAANATGAAGTTAATAGGAACAAAGAACCTAGGGATGATAACCTGAAAGAGATCAAGGATATGCTAAGGTGCCTTGTAGAACAAAATAATGAGAAATAACTGCACATACAAAGGCAAGATGCTAATATTCGCAACCTGGAGGCACAAATAAGTCAACTGGTTGAAGCATTTAATGCTCAACATGTTAATACTATGAATAGTAGCTAGGAGCAATGTGCATTAGAGACAAAAATTAAGGTACCACTAGAGGGGTCCATAGTAGAACACCAACAATCAATCTAACGAGAATTTAAGGATGTCGATGTTGTAGAAGAGATACTAGAGTCAATCAAGGACATTGGGGATACATATTTAGTTGACTCTAGTGTCATTGGTGTTGACAATCCCAAGGTTCATGTAATTGAGCACATTGGTCCACACTCCAAGCATTTTTTCACATTGTGTTTGGATGATGATATAGAAATAGAGTCATCCGAACCAATTGAAGAGTCAATGAATGAGGAACAAGGTGCATATATTCTGGAATTCTTCTTGCTAGAAAGTCAGGATTACATACCTCATACAAAGGCCAAGGAGTGTAGAATACTACATTATTTTCTTGGGCCACTTAGATTCGTTCCACCGCCCCAAGAGCATAATCATAAGCTTGAAGCAAAACTTGGAGTCCAATTCATAAGTTCGAAGTGGAGGCAGAAAGTGATTCATGTCGTACCGCGACATTAAATCAAGCGCTTGTTGGGAGGAAACCCAGCTTTACTATTTTTTTTATTTTTTTATTTTTTTTAATTGTATTATTTTTGTAGTGTCGATTTTTTGATTTTTTAGGAGCATGGAAAGTAGAGCCATTGGAAAGATGCAACAACAAACCAGATGGTTGGAACTAAGTGTGAGGTACCCGAGGACCAGGTCTGGGAGAAGTCTGAGTAACCCATGAGCTACTAATGCTTTAGCCTTTGGCCTACTAGGGAGTTTCTTTTACCCTCTTGTATTTATGGGTATGCATTGGGGACAATGCACAATTTTAAGTGTGGGGTGAGGAGATTGTCTGGGTGACTTTCTATGCTATTTTAGTTGTGTTAGTTTAATTAAATAATTTTTTTTCTTACAAAAATAAAAAAGATTGGACTTTTCCCGACGTGGATCTATTTGATAATTTTCTTGAGGGATTTAAGACGAAAGGAAAAAGACAAAAAAAATTTCTTTGTAGGTAGTGTAGTAATTCCCCCTTGGTTTTTTTTTGTGCCGCGATTCTTTTCCAAGGGTTTTGTTTGAACCGGGTATAGTTAGTTTTATTTTTTTTAGGAATATGAGCCATTGTGCTGTGTTTTGAATTGAAGCAATATCTCTTGACTTTATTATGCCTTGAGAATAGTGAGTACTTTGGTTGTGACGCTTAGGCTCAGTTTTTGACTCTTGTATAAGTACCTTAAATTGTATGATTTTAAATTTGCTTAACTGCTTTGACTAGAGTGTCTTGATGAATCCAATCCTGAGTGAGTTATGTGCCATGTGTGTGTGAGATTTGTGTGTTATTTTGTGCATTGCATTTGATGTCTAGAACTTGCCCCGTGTGTTTGTAAAGCGAAATAGTAGTTTTGTTCAGTCTTGAAAGTGATATAGACGTTTCTTTGTTGAGCCATATATATATTTTACCCGCCTAATTGTTATGTATCGTAGTTAACCCTTTTGAGCCTGTAATCCTATTTCTTTGGCAACCACATTACAAGCCTTACCCATTTGTTTGAATTAATCATCTATTTGAACCTTCTAACCTCTCATGAGTACTTGAATTATTATGAACTGTGTAAAAGTTAAAGTGTGGGGTGGTTGGTTTGGCTTTTGAGTGGAAATAATGAAATAAGGAGAAAGGTGCACTGTTTTGAAAAAGTAAGAGCCACTTGAATTAGAAAAAGAAAGAAAAGGAAAAAAAAGTTGTATTATTGTGAAAATAAAATATTCCTTGATAAATGGTGACTCTTGATGTAATTGTGCTTAAACAGGTATGGGGTAGTATACATTGATGTGAAGGTGGAGTTTGGTTTGACGTAAGTATGTGTTTTGAATGTTAAAGTATATGTATTAAAGTACTTAGGGAGGTGTAGTCACTCTTATATCTAAATGTATCCTACCCGTCCCACAGCCTACATTACAACCAAATAAAGTTCTACTTGATCCCACACTGAATGAACTCGATTAGTAGAGTAGTACACTACGGGCAAGCCTATGGTGCATCTTTTATGGCATATGAATGTTATTTTCGAGAGTGAGTGAATTCTTTATATCTTGAGTTCCTAAGTGTTCTTAAGTTTTATTGAGTGGAATTACTCACTTTTGTTGTGTGAGGGCACTTGATTCATGAAGGAAAGGTAATGTTAGTGACCTCTATGTTAGAGTAAGTGGGTGAGTTATGAATAATGTGTGGTACTTGTAAGTCAAATTTTGAGGTGAAGATGTTACGCTTTTGTGCTTTGTCTATTTTAAGTATTCTTGGTGTGATGAGTTAGGAGAATTATTTTAAAAGGTCGTGTCTATATAAAGTGTAGTTTGATTGTTCGAGGACGAGCAATGGTTTAAGTGTGGGGTATTAATGATAGGTTATAATTACGTATTTTAGTCGCTTATTACACTCCAATTTACTACACTTTAATTGAGTTTGAGCTTTAATCGCTAGTGTTTTGCACTAATTGTGTATTTTATGCTTTGTAGGAGTGATTCCGAGCTATGTAGATGTTATGGAATGAATTCAAGTGATTTGAAACTTTGAAGTCTGATTAAAAGCCCAAGGAATTAAGCTGAGATCGTGTTCGGGGATCAACGGATGATAGTTAAGAACGAACGAAGAATCAAGTAGGCATATTACGCACTATCTAGTAAAATACACATAATTTTTCGCTCAGAACTCCATTTGAGCTCCACAATATATGGTTGGAAAGCTAATTCAAAGGACTACAATTTTCAAGTTTTACGTGTTTCCAAATTCCAAACAGAACAGGGTGAAAAATGCATGATAAGTGCGCGGCCGTGCACTGGCCGCGAATGTGAGGCAGAAACCGGCCAAAATCCGCGGCCGCGGACGTCCTGACCTGGAAAAGTGTCCTTTTTCACGTAGGAGAGGGTATAATTATTTGGGACTGACCCTACTTGGTATATATACATGGAAAAATGGTATTTTGAGAACTTTTGACATACTTTTGACACACTTTAGACCTCCTAAATTTAATCTCCAACCCTTAGTATCTTTAGTTGTTAATTTACTGCTTTAGTTTCTTAGTTAGATATAAAAATCTTAATCTTTATAACTTAAAAATTTATTCGAGCTTGTTTTCTTAGCGATATTGAACAATTATGGCGAAACCTTAGTTTTCTGTGGGATTCGACTCCAGACTCTTAGGCCGGATTATATTTGCAGCGACCGCTTAGTCCTTTTTACATGGTATAGTTGGGCGTGATCAGTACTTGACCATTTTTTTCTCAACAATTATAATCACGCACCAATAATAACATGACACGTGTTATTGACTTTAAAAAAACTTGAATTTATAATTATATCCATATTCTTCACCATCCCCCAAGCTGTACCACCATGGCTGCCCCTCTCCAAGTGAGTAACTTGTATTAGCAAGTAGCAATCATGAACCTTTATTTTTAATTTTAAAATTATTAGGACAACATTGAATTTCTATCATCATTACTGATTAAATATTTTCCATAAAATTCCTCGTATTTGTATCTTCCCTTTTTCAAATTAACTAACCGATTATATAGTTTGAATATCAAATGTGCTTACACCATCAACAATGAGAACAAAATAGAACCCAAAGAACTCAAAATTTCCAAACCCATCAATGACTGAAATGGAAAAAACTTCACATACCTAATTAGAACCCACAAATTCTCACGAAACACATATGAAGAACTCCACGAATTTTTCCTTCGGCATTTGGCCACGCAGGCAGCGCAACCGTCACACTGTCATTTAGCGATTCCTATGTTAATATATGAAACTCTGATTTTTTTAATCCTTCTTTAAATTTTGACAAAAATATTTGGTGGTATGATGGTAGAAGAAGGCTATGGTGCAGTAATGAAAAAAGATGGAAAAGAATAGTGATTTTTTTTTCTAAAAGATGAAGAAAAGGATTTAGAAAAATGAAAAGGTTGGACACGTGCCGTTGAAATGAGCCATTAGACACACAGAAACACGCAAGTTACACGTAATAAAAAATGTGTCTTTTACACATACTAAAAGAAGTAATTTTGGTGCAAGTTTGACAGATAAACTATGTATTTTGGCTAATTTTTTAAATATATCCTTTGCGGCATCAACACAAATTGCTAGAATGGTACTTTTAAGAGTGACATAGTACACCCGTCGTTAGGACGATTAACTCAGGTCGTAGACCTCGTGGTGTCAAAGAATAGGCGTAACAACAAAATACCCGCCAAACGTGGAGCTCCCCTTAAAATTCTAACTAGACTCAAAATTCATCTCAATTCTTTTGGTGTCTTCAACAATAATCAAACTGGCCTAAAGTTCTTTCCTTATCATATTTTGCTCAAAAATCACCACAATCCAGAAAAAGGTGGAAGCTAGGAGTAGAAGAGTAAAATTTTAATCTTGGATTTGACAAGAGTAAGTAATGGGGCTATTTAGAATTTGAATTGGAACAAGAATTTGTTGATTGAAACATATATATGGAAAAAGGAAGAAGTGGGAAAATTTGAGAAAGTAGAAATGCGGCCTCCACCAACAGCAGGGAATCATGGACCTCCATTGAATAAATTGATAGCTGTGGCCATAGACAAAGATAGAGGAAGCCAAGTTGCTTTGAAATGGGCTATTGATAATCTTCTTGCCAGGGGACAGACTGTTATTTTGATCCATGTCAAAGTTAAACCATCTGCTTCTCAACCCCCTTCTCATACCACATCTAGTAAGTCTTTCTTTATACATACATACATCATGTCGATTAATATTTATGATGTTGTGGATCAACCAATTTTTTGGAAATTAGTATGAAATATATGAAGTGGAATGTGGATTCTTGGGCTCATATGATGTCTTAAATATATGGCAACTTTTTTGGAAATTAATATGAATATATGAACTGGAATGTGGATTGTTGGGATCATGATGTCTCGAGTAAAATGTTGTAGGAATCAACTTTTCGAGTGGATTAACAATGTTATTGATGGTGGTTAGATCTTTGTTGATTTTCGGAAAATTGTACAAATATTGCCAATTAGTGATTTTTTTGGGAAGAGAAAAATTGTTCTTAATTACCATATTCCTTTATCTATGGTAAGACACACTTGTGTGGAAGTTGGAACCAGGCAAAAACATTCTTCAAACACTTGCAAGCAGTGGTGGATCCAGAATTTTAAAGTCATGGGTGCTCGCCCATAAAAATTCCGAAAGAAGAGGAAAAAAGAGTTTAGTCGTGGGTGCTCACTTAATATTTATCTAAATACTTTTATAATTGCCTATGCAAATTTACTAAATCTGGTCAAAGATAATGGGTGCTTGAGCACCGACAAGAGACCATATAGATCCGCCACTACTTGCAAGACATGCTTTCTTTTAAAATCTTATTGGAGTAATGAGGTTTAGTTGCTTGGTTGGTTGTTCGTGCATTATTGGGGGGCTTATGATATGCAATGGAACTAAGCATAGGTGAAACTAAGAGAGAACGATTGAAAATTGCTACTTCGTATAGTGATATTCTGAAAAAGTTTTTGGATTTCATGCTTTTATCCACTAGAATCCTCTCAATGTTGAAAATGAACCCTGAAGTATGATACATTGTTATAAGACATGTTTCAATTGAACACCTTTGTTGTTGCATGTTGGTTAGAGCTCAAACACTGCTAAAGATGGCTGATGCAGTTGCACACTTAAGAAACATATAGTTTAGCCTCAGTATTTGTTGAGTTTCCCAAATATTGTAGCTGACTAATTAGTTTATTCTTCAAATGAGCTAGTTATCTGCCCGTATTCCAGCCCAGATTGGCATGTTGCTGCAAGTTCTGTGCAGAAAGGATTATATTTTGAATTTTGCCTCTATAATGTTACAACTGTCTCTTGCATGCCTTGGATTTTCAGTTAATTTAATCTATACTTGTGTCATTTCTCTCTCCCTCTCACCCATTAATCATGATTTCTGTAATTTGAACTTGGGAAAAACGTTCTTAGACCTAATATGCTTTTTAATTATTGCTAAAGACTTTTAATTATATCTATGCTATGCCAAACTTCTTTCTTCAATATTAAGATTTTTAAGCAATTGTGCCACTGAGTTTTTGTCGAGACAAACTCTACCTGCTAGTGTTACCCTAAAAGTAATGGTACATTTCATTTATTAAGTCTAGAGTATTTTAATGTGACGTCAAAAAAGGGGACAAAATGATAAGTTTGCTACTTCTTTCTTCACCTTGATCACTTCTACGATTCCAATTAAAAAGTGGAGAAAGGAAACTTGAGGACTATTTCTCTCTGGAGTGTATTTTATGACACAGTAGCAAAGGAGTAACTGGTGTACTTTTACATATCAGGATTAAACCAGATGTCTGATGCTAGCACCGATGGATCAGGAATGAGTGAATTGGATCCGCAGTTGAAGGAACTCTTTCTTCCTTTCCGAGTGTTTTGTACTCGTAAAGATGTTAGTATTCAAGCTCGAAACTTCAAACAAATTCCTGATGACCCACACACACATTTTGCGAATCATTCTTTAGCATTTATAGTTGTTATTTTCCATAGTAATTTCCTTAACCTTTCTAGTATTGATTCTTCTGATCATCAATAAATAACAGATACAATGTTATGATGTTGTGCTAGAGGACGTCGATGTAGTCAAAGCAATCGTTGAATATGTGAATCGAACAGCAATAGAAGTATTAATTCTTGGTGCTGCAGCAAAAGGCGGTCTTCTCAGGTATGACTCTTTCTTTGCATGGTGAGTTGCACTTATTGGAAAGGGGCCAAAAATATTGGGACAGAGGGACTAATAGATATGATCTATCTCTTGAATGGAGGCAATTACCTAGAGGAGTAACTTGTATCATTTGGAAAGTCATAATTTTAGTTAACTGAAGCTATACAACAAACATGATCCCAATCGTATCTCAGAAGCTTGCGAAGTAGAAAAACGAAGAATTGTGTCTGCATTTATATATTTATGTTTGGTCATGTTTGTTTGAGCTTCATTGAGGAGAAATATTAATTGCTCTATTCTGATAAGGATCATATTCTAGTTTATGGTTCTTATTTGAATAGAAGAACGTCTTCAGAAGGTCTAATTTTAGTAGCCTTTCTACACAGAAGATTTAAAGTCAAAGATATTCCTGGAAACGTGGTAAAAGGGGTTCCGGATTTCTGCACTGTGTATGTCATCTCCAAAAATGGAAAGATTTCAGCTACACGATCTGCTTCTCGCCTCGCACCATTTATCCACCCACTGCGTCACCAGTTCATGCAGCAGGGCAATGCCAAATCTAATACCACTGAGGATTCACTGAACACTCCTTCCAGAGGTATGTAAAATGCTAGAAGAAAATTCTTCAATTAAGTTCATTTCAACGTGCAAAGCTAATTCTAATATGTTTCGTAAAGGTTCTCTTTCGGGGATTCCGAAGCCTGTATCTGATCTGCCCATGTCGAACCTTCAGAGTGATACACTTAACATGAAGTAAGTCAAACTATCTTCACTATGTTACCCAAATGTGTCATCAGCTGCTTAGTAAGGACAATAAGCAATAGGCACTGATGCGAGCTCTAAAATTTCATAATTACTGGCCATAAAATGTTGCATATTTTTCTCATTCTGAGGCCTAAGTTGTATATCACTGTTGTAAACAGGTCTCCTTTCACTCATAGGAAAGGCCCAAATGGTAAACCATATGAGATCTCTCAGCCAGATACTGACATATCATTTGTCAGTTCTGGTAGGCCAAGTATTGACAATATGTTTCCTTCATTTGCTGACAACTACGATAGTGGAGCAACCCCTCCCCGGCTATCAGGCTTCTCCGATTTTGAGGCGCAAAATTTTGAACCCATTCCCTTGGGACGCCGATCCTTGGACATCATGCCATCAGAACTGTCATTCCTTTCAATGGAGGGTGATAGAGCATCATTCTCCTCCACACCGGTAGGCAATCGAAGGTTTCTGCTTTTTGAGCTTTTGGAAATTATAGATACTAAGATCAAAATTTCTACACTTATTCTTCCATTTTCCATTTAAGCATAATCGTTACTCTAAATATACAAGTTTACAACATGCCTGCAAACTTAAGGTCTTTCCTTTCATTTATAGGATGACGTAGCAGCAGAAATGAGAAGGCTGAAACTGGAGCTCAAGCAAACGATGGAAATGTATAGTACAGCTTGCAAGGAAGCACTCACAGCACAACAAAAGGTACGATAAATTCCAACCCATTGTGCACCTTTGTGATTGCATCAATTACCTAATATGTTCTCAATTGTAGGCGATGGAACTCCAGCGCTGGAAAACAGAAGAACAGAGAAGACTAGAAGAGGCAAGATTTGCAGAGGAAGCTGCATTAGCACTTGCAGAGAAGGAGAAGGCAAAATCTAGGGCAGCCCTTGAGCACGCAGAGGCAGCTCAGAGGCTTGCAGAACTAGAAGCTCAGAAGAGAATTAATGCAGAAATGAAAGCTCTGAAAGAAGCAGAAGAGAGGAATAAGGTACTAAATAAACTTTCAAATTCAGATTTCAGGTATAGGAGGTATACGATAGAGGAGATTGAAACTGCAACGGACTACTTTGCACAAGCTAATAAAATTGGAGAAGGAGGTTATGGGCCAGTGTATAAGTGTTACATGGACCACACACCTGTTGCGGTCAAGGTCCTTCGTCCTGATGCAGCTCACGGAAGACAACAGTTTCAGCAAGAGGTATAAAGTCTAAAATTCTTATTTATTCTTGGAGAAGTAGTTAAGAAGAATAATTGTGTTCCCTGATACAAACATGTCTGATTTCTTACTGAGAGCCCATTAAAGCTATGCTGAAATTACCCATGTAGCAATCTCCATGACTTTTGTTTGGAATTGATGCATAGTTATTTGATTGATTGAATGGTCTATAACTGTCAGCATGCAACAGGAAACTGAGTTACAGTGAAAATAGTTCAATTAAAACAAGATGACTGCCGGCATAGTCACGTAGTTGTGATGATGTCCCGTCCCATAATTGATTATTGGTATGTTGACGACATTGGACTATTTTGAACACTGCAGGACAATTATATAATTACTAATTAGCATCCATTACTACTCAATAATTGCTTAGGCTGCAAACAAGAAAAGATGCATCGTAAAGGTAGAACTAAGAATTGATGGCATGTAATTTAAAATATAAGTTGGTAATAAGGACACAAGAATTCTGCTTCACATTCATATTCTATCTTCCCATTCATAACAGAACTTCATATGTGGCATAGCCCCTAATTTCTCTCACCCCCCTTCTTTTATTGCAGGTTGAAGTATTGAGCTGCATACGACATCCTAATATGGTTCTTCTTCTGGGAGCATGTCCTGAATATGGGTGCTTGGTATATGAGTTTATGTCCAATGGAAGCTTAGAAGACCGTCTATTCCAGCGAGGAAAGACTCCACCACTCTCTTGGCAGCAGAGATTTAGAATTGCTGCTGAAATAGGTGCCGGGCTGCTTTTCCTACACCAGAGCAAGCCAGAACCAATAGTACACCGTGATCTAAAACCTGCAAATATTCTACTTGATCGCAACTTTGTGAGTAAGATTAGTGATGTTGGCTTGGCTCGGCTTGTCCCTCCATCAGTGGCAGATTGTGTCACTCAGTACCGAATGACATCAACAGCTGGAACTTTCTGCTATATAGACCCCGAATATCAGCAAACGGGAATGCTTGGTATAAAATCCGATGTATATTCTTTAGGTATCATATTCTTGCAGATACTAACAGCCAAACCACCGATGGGTTTAACTCACCACGTTGAAAGGGCAATCGAAAAAGGGACCTTCAACGAGATGCTTGATTCATCTGTTCCTGATTGGCCCCTTGATGAGGCTCTGAACCTTGCTAAGTTATCACTGAAATGTTCTGAGCTAAGAAGGAAAGATAGACCGGATCTCAGCAAGGTTATTATGCCAGAATTAGAGAGATTGAGAACACTTGGAGAAGAAAATCCATGCCAATCACCCTTGTATAGTTCAGGTTCCTCATCAAATCATAGCCAAGCTTTCGTGTCCCAAGCTAGCCAACATGAATAGCTTATTGTAAGCATTAGATCTTCGACGAGCATTTAAATTGTTAGTAGTGGTATGACTTTTTGTGGATATACAAGATTCACATATTCTGCTATATCCAAATTAATATGTTCCTGACACAGTTTTCACCATATTTCATGCAGGAAAAACTAAGCTATCCAAACAAGATGTAATATGGCTTTGAGAGTTCGAAAGGCGCATCATGAAGCATAGTCGCCTCATTAGATTAGCGTGGAGGTATACGCCAAGGTGAGAATAGTTCTAAAGTTCTCAGGAAAGAAAAATTTAAACTGAATGTTTTATAGCATAACAAGGAATTGTACATCTCCATCCATATATAATTATAATAGAGAAAATAGCAATTTTGGTCCTTAATGTATTATTCCCTTTATTTCGATTTTGAAATTCTTGTATTGTTAAACTGACCACATTTGGTTGTTAATAAATCCAACTGTGCAACTCATCTTCTCCCTCCGGTTCTTTTTATTATCTGTATTTAACAGAAATAATCATAAGTAGTACTCCGTATTTGAATAAATTATCCTTCTCTTCCTTAAATGAGTAATTAATAGGTATATGCTTTCTTGGAGTAATAAGGGTGAAAGCAGGGGCGAATTTAGGGGTTCAAATTTTCTAAAAGGTTGCAGGTTAGATTCCCATTGAGCACAGTTCTCAAAATTTTGAATCCCCTTCACAAATATCCTACCTCCACCACTAGAATTGGCATAGGGGAAAACTACAACTCTGGAAATAACATGCGACCGTGCCCACCACGTGATCTGATGCTACTATTGCTGGTGACCGTATTTAGCTTAAATGGATGCTGGGAGTTAGTTGTGATCAGTTGAGAATGACCCAATTTATCAAGCTCAATTTAGCTTACTTCAAACTTGGCTTGGCGGGAAAAGTAGTTATTGTTGGGTTTTTCTTTAAACGGTACGGTGTGAATGGGAAATGGAAGAGTCACCGCACCTCTTCGTCTCACCCTTTCATTGTCTATAAATTTAGAAGCTTGGCCTCATTTTTAAAACATGAAAAATCTGAAAATTTCTCCCATCTTTTCTACATTGAAGTGTGATTTGTTGTGCCGTTATCACAGAATAATTATTCCATTCCATAATCTTGGGTAACAGTGAGGATAGGGATTAAATTCCTAAGAGAATTAATTTCGGATGGCTGATAAAGAGATAATTTAGAATGGAATTCTGATTGTTAGTCTGCCGGAGAGAAGCGGCGAAACTAATTATTCCAGATGATTTTAGGCTACTTGATTCATATCTATCAGAAGAATCTTTTGTTGAAGTAAAATTGCATCTTGTTTGGAATTTTCTCTGAAAGATTCCATGTGTGTTTACCCGAAAAATCAGATAACGTTAATGTATGGTTCTAAGGATACGTGATACCCTTTGATACAAATCGTATAGAGAGATAGCGATACGAATATTCTTGACTATGAAAATGGAAATAATGAATCAGAAAGAATGAATAAAATAAAGTAAAACAAGCACAAGAAAGTATCTTTTGTTCCAGTGTATTCAGTGTGTCCATAGCGTACTAGGATCCCCTTTTATAGTAGAGGGTCATTACTTTATTTATAACAAAAAATAATAAAATAAATCATATGGTGGAGGACCCATGATGATTTGTCTCTTTCTCGATTCCCGCCAAAATTCTCTCTCTTGGTGCGGTTGCAACGGCTCTTGTCTGTGAGCTCGATACTGGCTCGAACTCGTTACTGGATCGAGCCCTTCGGTCTTGGCTCGAGTTTGACCTACGGTATGGGCGTCGCGCATTTTCGACCTCGAAGCAATGCCTTGCGGATCGATTTGATCACGGACTCTATAAGGTTATCGAGTCGACTCCTCGGGCAACCTTCAGACTTGAGGCTCGTTAATACTGTCTTCGGAGCTCACTCCCAAAATCCCACTCTGACTTCTTATCACTTGAACTCGATTGAACGTAGGAAGACCGAAATCTATTTCGACCATATACAGATAGTCCCCTCGTTTCTCACGAAGGATGCGGTGAGAATCGATATGATTTTCGACGGTTCGATCGGGTTATAAGCTGACGTTTTAATAGGGATAGATTATGACGTATGTGATAGATGTCCCATCGATTTAGTCTTTCAAGGTATTTAATGCTTGTCAGATGGCGGTCGGCCACCTCTGATATTGAACCGTCATGATGCGAGCCTATAAATAACCCTTCCATCTATCATTTACCACTTTTACGCATTCACTCCTCCAAATTTTCTTATCTTTTCTCTCTATCTCGTCGCTTGTAGAGCCATCTACACCAGAGTTTTGGTGTCGTCAATTTTTCACTTTCCTTTGCCTTTCTTCCTCTCATATCAATGGCCAAAACTTCGAAAACTGTACCTCAGAAGGAGAAAGCTTCTTCTTCACGGCTGTCCGGCGACAAGGCGCTGGTGGAGCTGTCTACCTATGACTATGTTCCCGGCCCGTGTACTCAGAAGATCGATTTTAAGGTTGAGAATCCTTCATCTGTTCCGGGTCGATGCGAGCACGTGTCAATGTACATGTGCTCTATTACGGCGGGTCATCTCGAGGCCGTTAGGAAAGACTGCAACTGGGGTTCCGAGGTTGTGTTGCAAATTCC